AGAAGTGAGAATCTGATGCAAGGGAGGGGGACGATAAGTAGGCGTAAGAAGGTGTGGTTCTGAGACGTGGTGGAAGACCAGTCGCTTTTTAAGCAGACAGTGTGACCAATAATAGAAAGTAGAATGCTTTGGTACATGTAACGTAGGAATTCCAAAGCAAATAAGCCTAAAGACCACCATTTATGTGGTGCATGTAAATCTGCTCTGAAAAACCTAAAGACCTGCTAGAATAGTGCATGTAAATACACTAAAAATGTAAGAAGACGGTGTTACTACCCCAGCTGTATGCTGTTCTTAGAAGACATTGTTACCGGCGCGGTGGCGGTACTTCTAAAGGGTTCTCCAAGTGAGTTCTTCAGTTTGCTTGTTCTTTTGTTAAATTCTCAAGTAAAACCATGGTTTTTGTTTCAGATAATATTTTATAAAAACGGTGTCAATCAAGGTGTGGCCTACAAAGATATTTTTGAAGGGGTTTACTTTCCGGCCATCTCACTCTATAAGAGTTGCACGGTATGTATCATCTGTTCATCCTGTGAATGGAGCTTGAGGGAAATAGGCGAATGGATGTAATTGATGACCGTTGATGTGAATTCTAGAAAGAAAACTGAGTAGCCTAAGAGTGACACAGGAATGTGTTCCTGTTGTTACTGATTGTTCCAAAATCAGTTGGGTGTCGTAGGAAGTATTTGCTTGGATAGTTAAAAGATTGCGCAATTAGGGTGCTCCACACTTTGACTTTGGTTTTGTTTTGTTTTGTTTTAATGTTTTTTATTTATTTCTGAGAGAGAGAGAGACAGTGTGAGCAGGGAAGGGACAGAGAGAGAGGGAGACACAGAATCTGAAGCAGCCTCCAGGCTCTGAGCTAGCTGTCAGCACAGAGCCCGATGTGGTGCTCAACCCCACGAACTGTGAGATCATGACCTGAGCCAAAGTCAGATGCTTAACTGACTGAGCCACCCAGGTGCCCCATCCACACTTTGACTTTGAATGTGCTGTACGGTAAATGTCATTGTTCAGTGTAAAGGATGTGACGTATCTACATGTGGGGTCAGCTTGGTGTTATTTAATATGATCCAGTATGAAGGGGACTATAATCAGATCCTATTGTGGGTTTTTCTGTTGTCTTTTTTTAAGCAATTGGAAAAGGTAATATCTGGAAATTTCCATGTATTTTTAGTCTCTCAGTAAACACCCATTTAAGTAAAATAAGGAAGTCTTCAGGTTATAAACAAAAATCAACAAAAGTACTTTATTTACCTAATTTTTGATGGACATTAGGGTGTTGACCACCTTTAGCACTGGTAATCTATATCATATGTTCCACTTATACCCTGAATATCATAGCTACATTTAAAAACAGAAAGTTCCCATGTCACGTTAAACTTTTTTTCACTCGTTTTCTGTTTTCTCCTGTCTGCTTGAATTGAACTATTCCAGGTTTCCATTAACTTTGGACCGTGCTTCAAGTATCCTCCAAAGGATCTCACTTACCGCCCTGTGAGTAACATTCACAGCGCTTCCTCGGTATCTCTGTTCCGTCTTGCCCTAGTGATTCTGATCACCTCCTTTCTGTTTCTTGCTCCTCCCGCAGATGAGTGACATGGGCTGGGGCGCTGTGGTGGAGCATACCCTGGCTGATGTCCTATATCATGTGGAAACAGAAGTGGATGGGAGGCGGAGTCCGCCATGGGAGCCCTGACCAGGTCCCTCTTTCTTTGCAGACAAGGACCTGCTGGGGAATGAATTGGGGAGGGGGGACCTGTTTTTGTTTTTTTAACTGTTGCAAACATTCTCCCAAAGATACCACAGGGCACAGCCTGTGCTGTTAGCAGCTTAAACGTGTGGGTGAGACTGGGAGAGACTCCCCTGCTTTTCAGCACTCTCCCCACTTCTGGTGACTGCTTCTGTTTTGTGTGCCACATGCCAACAGCTGCCGACCCCAGGATCCCGTACGTCCCCCCCACCCCCCCGTGAACTGGTGCTGTGCCACGCATCCCACCAACTGGGACTCGTTACCTTCCTGTATTTTCTAACGAGTGAATGATCTCATCCAAGGAGCTAACTTATTTAAAGACCTTTCCTTTTGTGGCATTGACTCCATCCCATCTGATTTCCAAGGAAGTAGTAGGCCTGTTTCTGAGAACAGCTGAAATCAGTGCTGTACATTCCAGGGCTAAAAGGTCTTTCCTTTTGCTGTGGGCTTTTATTCCTTTTGAAGTGGTTTTGAACATGGGGGTCTCTGAAACTACTAGGTATCTAGAACTGTAATTGTGAAAAAAAGAACTTGCTTGCAGCTTTAACAATTAGAAACTCTTCCCAAATAAAACCTGTCTTCAAGTGTGTGTGGCATCTGCTCCCCTTTCAGGGCGGTTTCCTCTGGGTGACAGGGGTAGCAGTGTGGGCAGTCTGAGGAAGGGAGCCAGCACTGGGGGAGGAGGCGGGTGTCTGGCTCTATCCCAACCCCTCTCCTGCTTCCATTCTCCCTGACCAGCTCAGCCACCCTCTTTCTCCTGTGAAAGTCACCTCATGGAGATGAACAAGAGCTTAAAAGGGTTAATGGTGTCCCTCCAGCATTTCCCTTGAGCGTGTGTGCTAATGTGTGCACATTGTTTTCCTGCCTTACTCCCCTTCTTAATACGTGATGATTCCGAATACTAAAAACTGGAATGTAAGAATGAGCCTTCCCTTGAGCTCCCTTTATGGTTTCCCTGTTCCCCTTTTTAATTTTTTTTTTTTAAATGTTTATTTCTGAGAGAGAGAGACAGCATGAGCAGGGGAGGGTCCGAGAGAGAAGGAGATACGGAATCTGAAGTAGGTTCCACGCTCTGAGCTGTCAGCACAGAGCCCGATGTGGGGCTCGAACCCATGAACTGTGAGATCATGACCTGAGCCGAAGTCGGATGCTTAACTGACTGAGCCACCCAGGTGCCCCTTCTGTTCCACTTTTTAATATGTCAGTGACAATGCAGCCTCCCAGGAATTTCCCAAATTTCAAGTGACTATGGGTATCTTAACATGGTAGCTTTGACTGATAATTTGTCTCCTAAAGAACCATGCAGCCTATTTGTCTTGGCCATTCAACATCTCTTAACAGGAAGCCTAACAGAATCAGTGCGATTGTAGACTGAAGGCTCAGCCTGTCACCGCTGGACACCTGTTTATTCGTGGCTGGTCTTAAAGGGCAGACTTGGTTAGAAAGCTGGATCATCAGAGTTTGAAGAACTCTTAAGAGAATGAAGGTAGCATCCTATGGAGGAAGCTGGAGGAAAATTCTTTGTAACATAAATTACCACGTATTTTATTTGTACACCTACTCTACATTTGATAAAATTTTTGTACATTGGATCTTCATAAATCAGGTTACAGAAGTCATGATGTTGCCTGTTTATACTTCATATTCAAAGTGTGTGTGTGTGTGTGTGTGTGTGTGTGTGTGTGTGTGTATTGAGAGGTTTCATTTGAAGGGCTCACAGAAGGCCCACTCTGTGGAGTCCTCTAAAATGGTCTCAAGGGGCATATCATCCCTGGCCACTTATTTTATTCCAACGTAAAGTTAAACAAGCGGGAAAGTGGCTCCCAGCCCCCTCAAAGGCACAGTTGCACGGTTTGAGGAAGGCAGATTTTAATCGAGCTCCAAACTGGTGTGTGGCGAGAAAGCCCATTTCCTTGCTTTCAGCCTGCTCGTTTTTGAAACCAGAGTGTGTATTGCTTTACATATCTTTAGACAGTCATTTTCCCTTAGCTGGGAGTGAAGGATAATTTGTTCTAGAAATCCTACAGCTATCCCCTCTCCCTCTGAAGTTCCCTGGTAAACCATAATTTGATCCCGTGCTAAAAAATAGACTATGAGACAAGAATAAATAATAAACACTTCTATCAGATATATTTCAATACCTCCATAAATATTAGCATTCCCACAACTGCTAATCTGTTTAATTAATAAGCTGAAGCTGTTTCCAGACAGTTTAAATCATCAGTGCTGTTACAACTTAGAATGGCTGGCTTTTCATCCTCCTCACACTTCTCAGCAAAGTAATCCCAGCCCAGTTTATATTTTGAAAGCATTAAAGTCTCTGAATCTTGAAAGAGGGACTTGCTCTCACCATATTCCCTCTTTTGGCCTTCTCTCAAAATAGTATATAACACTGACCTGTTAAAAGCCGCACAGTTGGCAGCCCCGAGCCAAGCTGGCAGCAGATATAATTGACTCTAAACTAAAGATTCGGTTCCCAAGGTGCCTGGGTGGCTCAGTTGGTAAAGTGTAAACTTCGGTTCAGGTCATGATCTTGCAGCTTGTGAGTTTGGGGCCCGTGTCAGCCTCTGCCTTCACAGAGCCCAGCCTGCTTGGGAGTCTCCCTCTCTCTCAAATAAGTAAACCTTAAAGATTTGGTTCCCTTGTTAGGTGTCAACATTCACAGAAAGGAAAAGAATAAAATTTGTTTTTGTTTAACTTTATCTCAGTAATAGCATTTATTCTCTCATTTGGTACTGTCCTGTCTTCTAATTCTATAAATAACAATCCTCAGCCATCTTCTTCATCTTGCAGTGCCTGTCAGCTACCAGCTCTAGAGTCCTTGTAAGAGTTGATTTAGGCTTAAAGCACCTGGGTAGTTCTGACGGTTAAGCATCCGACTATTGATACCCCAGGTCATGATCTTGCAGTCTGTGAGTTCAAGCCCCACATCAGGCTCTGCGCTGACAGTGTGGAGTCTGCTTGGGATTCTCTCTCTGCCACTCCTGTTCTCTCTCTCTTCATAAACTTTAAAAAATTGATTTAGGCATGTGCTTATTATGGAAATTAAATATTTATGCAAGATCCTGGCAACAGATTCTAAATAATTGAGTGACCTGTGTCCCCAGCAGTTTCTCCTTTTAATGAGGTAATGGATCTAGTTTAATTAAAATCTTTGTCCAGGACTCCTTTGACATGAAGTTGCAATTTACTAGAATGATTTTTTTTTTTTTAAGAGTAGAATTTTTAAACAGGTGCAGACTGAAGGTTGTGTCTTAATTACGACTCTTTATTCTGACTGGTGCTCATGGAAGAAGTAGGGTAACTAGTTGAATTCGTTTTGTATTTTTTTCAATCAAGAAAACATAGACTACATTTCTAGAATGCATCTGCTGTGGGGAGTTGCTTGGTCTTTGGTGTAGTGCTCTTCCATTTTGGTAGAGGAGCAGATGGTTGCCTGAGTCCCTTTGTGAAGCCCCACACACACTGCCTGCAGGGAATGGAGCTCTTGAGCCCCTCAAGCATGAGGTCCTGGTCCCTGTACTTCGCACCCTCTGCCCTGTGTCAGCTAGTAGCCATTTTATAAAGATGTTTTTAAATAGATGTGTAAGAGCCCAGAAGGAAGTTTTACAAATATGTTGGAGCCCTTCACCTTCATTTCACAGCTAATCCTTGAATCGAGTTAGAAAGCTCTTTCTCTTAACAGCTCTGTCCCCACTTTCTTGGTCCTAAAATTTTGCCAGTCCCAGCATCCTACTCTAAGTACACCCCAGCCCCGTTCCCCAGTCCCCGGATGAAGATTTTAAACAGACTTGTAGGCTTCTGGCAGGGATCTCCCTGATGAGCAGGCAAGCCAGCGCAGCCGGGAACAGTGGGAAGCACAGGCTGGTCCTTAACACCCATTGGGAGCAGGGCTGGCCTCCAGGCGCTTGCGCAGGTGGTTGGCAAAGTCCACCTGGGTCTGCGATAAGACCTGGTTGATGACAGTCTTCGGCAGCCATCCCTAGAGTAGAAGATAGAAGAATTCGGCCATCTTGTGGGAGATGCTCCACTGTAGGCACGTCTGTACCCTATCACAAACATGGATTGCTTGGGGCCTGGTCTTCCAGCTCTGCTTGTAGGTGCGACCTTGGAGTTGACCAGGAGGACTGCCTTACTGCCCTGCTGTGTCATGGCAGTGTAAGGAGCACAGAACTTTGTCAAGACAAAGGTCAGTGGTGTGCCCCTGAGCTGGCAACCCTACCTTTGGGGGTCTAACTAACTTTCCTTCTTTCCAAACTGGCAACTAGAGTTGAAATTTCGTCTGAGGTAGAAGGGAGCTATTGTAGTCTTTGGAGATGATGGGATAGCAGGCCGATACTCAGGCCTCTTCCCTCTCCCAACAGTCTGTTTCTCAAGATGGAGGATTTCTCCTGTCCCTTGCAGGACTGTGGGGGAGAGTAAGAGCCAGTTTTCCTCCCCATCACCTACCCACTAGCCATCTCTCGTGCCCCTCACCTTGAGGTCAATGCTGAGCAGCCAGGTGAGTTTGGTCTTCGAGGGACTTCCAGCCAGGGGATGGAGCACCATGCAAGTGGGACCGTGCTCCCCTCTGGCAAAGGAAGAGAAGTCAAGTCAGAAGGACAAGGCAGAATTCTCTTTTATGCTGACTAGTTATACGAGCCACACTTTTCCAAGTCCCAGAACTATGTTTTTGGTCAAGGGTGATAAATATAACCGTTGGCATGGTTACCAGCTCACCGGAACAGAAGCTGGCTGGAGCTGGAGCCTGCAGGGCCCCTGTGGTGGCTTGGAGTTGCTGGATGCCAGGGAAAGGGTCCGGGGGGATGGGTGGGACCCCTTGGAAACAGCCCCTATGTTCTAAGGCATGGCTTGCATCTTAATCGCCAGTAGGGTTGTACCTAAGCATACCCGCTACACCTCAGCCCTACCTCATGTTTTGGAAAATGATTAAGGTCCTTAAACTTTCTGGGAAGGTCGGTAGGGCCAAACTTGTCTTCCTCCATATTTCTGTGCAAAAGGCAGTTGAAGGTAGGGACCAAGGACTGGTTTCTTGAAGCTGAGGATTCATCCCTCGCTTGGCGGGCACATGCTCACAAGCGTGCATGAGGGAAGGGAGGTGTGGGGTGATCGCCTAGATTACCTGATGACCCCTTTCTGCTCGGGCATCTCCCCGAAGTGTGTGGCCATGCCGGCCAGCACACAGGTGGAGCCTCGGCGCTTAGCACAGCGCACACTCACGAAGTCCCGGGGCCCCACGAGGTTTCCTGCTGATTCTGCAGCCAACTCATGGGTGATGACTGTATCCTTCCCAATCTTCTGCAGGACCTGCCGGGCCACAGGGAGCCCAAGTCATTAGCCAGTGCTGATGCTCAGGCACCACCCACGGCTTGCAGCCTCTTAGGCACACCTTTCAGACTGGGCTCCCACGGGTTCCTGCCACCCACGCGTGGACTCTCCTCACCTTGATCTCCTTGACATTCGGGTTCCACTCTCCCATCGCTTCCATGCGCTCCACAAGCTCTTCGTAAAGCCTCTCCATGGGCTGGTCCACCACCACCTCCAGCCGGAACACCTTGCCCATGTCGGGGACCACTTTACTCAGTACCGTGTCCCCATTCGCCTGTGGAGGAGAAAAATGGAACTCCAGGATAAGGTTAGAGAGAAATATTCCTAGCCTAGGGCACGCAGGCAGTGACAGGCAAGGCAGGAAGGGGAACGGCACAAAGAACTAAGCACGAGGAAGCCTAAGATTACTTCTAAGACAATTGGTCATCTTTCCCGCCACGAGCCTCCTACATCTGCTGAGGCCTTGAGACGCAACCTGCCTGCTTCTGGACCTTTTCTTCTTGGTGGTAAATGTGGAGAGGTCCAACCGAAAAGGCCCTTACTTGACCTCATTAGCTCAAATTTCCTGAGCAAAACAAAATTGGAAATGGGAAAGTCTGGTCTACACCCAGCTCATTACATATGCACAGTGTTGGATGGGATCTTAAAGATATTTTTGGTCCAGTATCTCATTTTACACCAGAAGGATGTAGGCTCTGAGACCTTTAGGGCACTGCAGGGCCTAGATCCCAGATTTCCAGACTCCCAGACTAGTAGTCTGCTAACTCAGAACTTGAGAAGAGGGTTTGTTTACCTGAACTTTGGGCATTGGGCAGCACACAGGATTTTTGGTGAAGGTAGAGTCACCAGAGTCACTCAATAGAGTCATTGGCCTTGAACATGCGCCTTGTTACTGGCTCCCAGTTGGGGCACAGTGCTCGGGAGCTTGAACTCCAGGCGGCCTTGGGCCATTTGTATTCTCGCCCAGCCCTGTTGCGGCCAAGCCCCGATCACCCCGGCAAACTCAGCCATGAAGAGGGCGGGAGACACCAGAACTGCACCCCCACACAGGCACTTCTGACCCAGGGTGGCGAGGCCTCCAATGCCTGCAGAACCCCTAGTGCATGGTCTCTGCCAAGTTGGGTGTACGGTGTGTTGGGAGAGTAACGAAGGACACAGGCACAGTGCTTCGCAAGCACAAGTGTCCAGGGCGTCTTTGATGGGGGAAGGGAGCATCTGAGGATGTATTCTTCTTTTTTTTTTTTTAATATTTTATTTATTTCTGAGAGAGAGAGAGAGACAGCATGAGCAGGGGAGGGTCAGAGAGAGGGAGACACAGAATCTGAAACAGCCTCCAGGCTCTGAGCTAGCTGTCAGCACAGAGCCCGATGCGGGGCTCGAACCCACGAACCGTGAGATCATGACCTGAGCTGAAGTCAGACGCTTAACCTACTGAGCCACCCAGGCACCCCTGAGGATGTATTCTTGAGAAAGGAGAATATTCAGGTGAAAACCACTTGCCGCATGAGGCGCGAATTGGGAGAATGGCCTTGAGGATGGCAGTGGGCCACAGGGCAACGTGCCTCACTGGGCATGTGGGTTCGAGGACCACCCTCACCTGCTGGTTCTCCTTCTTCCAGCCCTCCTGGCTGCTGAGGATGCCCAGGGCCTTCTGCATGGCCTCCTCTCCCTGCTGGATATAGGCCAGCTCCTGGTCGCTGTAGAGAGTGTCTTCCAGCCGAGAGCCTGGATACACAGCCCACGAGAGACCGAGCTTGCTTCCGGTTCCTTAGCCTCCCCCTCCCCTGCTTCCATCCGTTCAGTCTGGATCTGCTCTTTACTCTGAAGAGCCAAGACCAAAGTCATAGAGCCTGGCCTGCAGGTGAAGTTAGACACACAGCTACAGCCGACAGGGGGTGTGGCCTTTAGGAACCTCGGTCCCACCCCCTCAAAGTGAGTGAGAAAGGGCAGCTTAGGGCTAGTAAGGGGGACGTGGGGTTGTGCACGGAGTGGTGTACACAAGCTCCTACCACTGGCACAAGCCTAGAAGCATCAGCCACTTACCAAGCAGAGAACTCCGACGCCGAACCTGGTTAATCCACGCCCCCGGGGTCGGGCCCCCCAGTGCCCTCCGATTCAGCTCCTGGCCGATGGCGAGCACAGCTTGGTGCCTCAGCCCTGCCGAGAGGGGGGGATATTGTTGCGTTGGACAGAGGAATCCCCTTAGAGCGAGATGGTCTCACCCCTTCATTTTGGCACAGATGAGGAAACACATGGAGAGGGAGGTGACTTGCTCAGGAACACAGATCCCTAGTGGGATCTGAACGAGAGCCAGGTCACCTTTCCACCCAGGGTGGTCACTCTGCGCCAGGCCGCCTTTGGGCCGCCCAGAGCCTGCCTTCCATCTGGGCTGGGCTGGCCAGGCCTGGTGCTGCGTGGAGGTGGGGGCGGCACCCGAGCCTGCTGCAGTTTCCTTCTTGAAAGGGAGAGAAGCTCTGTCACACAACCAGAAAGATCCTTCTGTGGAAGGAGAATGAAAGACCCCCCAGCCCCTGAGGCCTGTGTGGCTGTCAGTAGCTGGGGTCCTTTGCATGAGTGACTGCTCAGTGTACCACTGGGGTCCGAGTGAGGGGAGTCTTGTTGATCTAGTGAGAACAGCTCTACTGCTGGTCCAGGTCTTCCAAGCACGGGTTCCTTCTAAACAGAAGCCAGGGGCGCCTGGGTGGCTCAGTCAGTTTTGGTTTTGGCTCAGGTCATGATCTCACAGTGAGTTCAAGCCCTGCACTGGGATCCATGCTGACAGTGCAGGGCCTGCTTGGGATTCTCTCTCTCCTCTGCCTCTCTCCTGGTCACATGCCTGCTCTCTCTCTTTCTCTCAAAATAAATAAATTAAAAATAAACAATGGAAGCCAGTTCAATCCAGGGTAATTGGAAAGGACTTTAGATTGGTTTGTGTACCCTTCAATGACTGCAGGGGACTGACTCAAATGATCTTGGCTCCTGATTAGCTCTATCAAAGCTGACTTCCTTAACTAGCTCTGCCTCCTGGTAGGATGGTAGCGAGACTTCCTGCTGCACTCATTTTCTCTCTTTACCTTGCTCCTCTGAGCCTTCCCCGCTTTCTTTTTCTTCCCCCCCTCTTCCCTGCCCGTGATGTCTCAGGCTTGCCAACACTGCTCCCACCCCGGCCACTGTGGCTATGACTCCTGGCGCCCTTGGTGCCAATCCAGGCAAAGTCAGGAAGAATTTAAGAACGATTGGAGCCCCAGAGAGGACAGCACAAGTGACAGAATCCAGAAGGGACGTAGGCATCTAAGTATCCAGGTCAATGGTTCACATGGGAAAAGGGAGGTCCAGAAGGTTAGAGACTTGCTCACCTGCTCACCAGGCAAGAGGCACAGTGAGCTGAGCGCGGAGTGGCCCCGCCCCCCAGTCGCCGTAGCCACATGGCCTCCCCGCGGCCCGGGAGCTCACCCTTCATGTTGCGGACGTGTCTGTAGGAGCTCCCAGCACACAGCTTGAACGTCGCCAGGAGCATTGTTTCCAGGCAGTGGGAGACAGGTGGGGTGGCGGTGCGGCTGCCACTGCTGCTGTGGCCACTGCTCTCAAGGGTTGCTTCTACCCCCTTCCCGAGCCAGCAAGGTCTGCCTCTGGGTCCTGCAGCTGTGGCCACGACCAGCTGCATGTGCTGTGTCTTAAATGCCCCCCGTCTGAAGGCTGTACTTCATCATTGGGAGATAAAAATGCCATCACTCGCTGCGCAAAGGAAGGGGTCAAGGGCAGAGGGATTGCCTCACACCGTGGCTTTGGCCATTTGCGGGGAGCTTGGGGGGGGAGGGAGGGGGGACCGGGTGCGCAGAAAGGAGCAAGGAGGTTGGTGCCAGACTCCAGTGGATGGAGGGGGGAGAAAAAGCAGCAGCCAAGGCCAAGGCGGTTTAGAAAAAGTATATACCATCCAACTGTGGTTTTCAAAGAGCATGTGGGGTGCTGTGTAAAATGTGCATTTCTGGCCTCGTAGCCTCGGAATCTCTAGATCTAACCAGTCTAGAATTGAGGCTCTTGTATTAAAGAAAAAGATGCCCCCCGTGGTTGCCACGCAGGTATCCTGTGACCTGCACCCTACTCTTTGAGACACCCTGCCCTGCTCTGGGACAAAATCTTTTTCCCTTTAGAATTGAACTTGAGACTGGTTTCAAGCCACATTCACCTGGCAAGAGTCTTGGAAGCGAGAGAGTCACAGTGGCTTGGCCCCTGGCCCAGGGCCTCCTGTGTGAGAGATTTCCGCCCTGACACTGCTGTCCGGAGGCAGGGAGGGAGGGCCTAAAAAGTCGGGAGCAGGGGCGGTCCCCCCCCTGGCTCTTGCTGGGCCCCTGACTACAGAAAGGATGAAGGGGACAGGACCTGCTCAGGTCGGCCCGGTGCCCAGAGCCCACACAGAACAGAGTGAGTCCCACACCCGCCCTGTCGACTCCTTGTGGAGAGTGGGAAGCGTCCAGTAATCCAGAGGCCCATGTCCTGGGCTCTTCTCCCAGCAGTGGCTGCCTGCAGGCCCACTGTGGGCCCTCTTCCCCTGGGAAGCCTTCCCTGACCACCCCAACCTTCCGGAATGGTTTGTTCCTCCGACGCATCCCCTGTCACTGCCCCCAGAGGGCACATCATCCCGGGTTCCCATTTGTGTAATGGTGTGTATTGGCTTGTCTCTTCTCTGGGGACTGTTTCTCCCTGAGGCACATCCCCTGCCGGCCCCCCCCCCCCCCCCGCACTCAGCTCGAGGGCACTGAGCAGGCTTGTGCTTCTTCTCTGTTGGGTGAAAAGTTTCAGGGAGGGGGAGGGAGGGNTCAGCTCGAGGGCACTGAGCAGGCTTGTGCTTCTTCTCTGTTGGGTGAAAAGTTTCAGGGAGGGGGAGGGAGGGGCGGGGGAAGGGGTGCGCAGGTATGTCTTTGGCTTAGGAAACTGGCCTGTAGGCTTCGTTTCCAGCCCCTGCAGAGTCCCGGGGAAGAGGCAGCACCAAAGGGACAGGCCTTGGCCTCTGGTTTGTCTCCAGCCTGGGTGAGGGGTGGGGGGACTTCACCTTTCACAGGCTGGAAAGAGGAGGTGCAGCGGGCATGCTGCGGCAGCCGGGTGCCAGGCACCCCAGGCTTCTCCTCTCTGCCTGTACACGTGAGCCCTGGTGCACATGTGTGCCTCAGTGGAGGTGGTGGGGAGTGGGGAGGGGGTTATTATGGGGCGGGCCGTGCAGATAATGTTCAAGGCCCTGCTGTTGCCATCCTGTGGAGAGTGATAGCCACTGTGAGAGGGCGCAGCTGGGGGTGGGGGACTGCGGGACTGCGGCACACAGCTGTTGCTGATGTCAGAAGCTGCCACTGACTCAGGGAGGGGTGCTGGTGGCCTCCCCCAAGGCCAAGGTCCTCATCCTCCCTCATCCTTTCCAGGACGAATGACTAGTTAACTCTCAGTGTCCCTCTGAGCAGTAAGGTCTGGAAGTCCCTCTGGCTCTGGAAGTCATCCGTGTCTGGCTTTGCTCTTTGTGGAGGGCAGGGCCCCCAAGGGAGGAGACCGGGTGGCCACAGCAGGCCAGGGAGAAAGGCATGCCGGGGGTCTGGCTCAGGCGGAGTGCTGGGGGGAAGCCCCGGGGCCAGGGGAGGGAGGCAGGGCTCTGGAGCAGAAAAGAGGACTCCATTTATTCCTGACACCCCCTTGTTGAGAGTCCACTGTGTGAGGACAAATGAACTGTGTGGCCCAGTGGGAGAGCAGTGGAGCCAATGAGGGCTTTGGAAGTACACGGGGTGGAAGGCCTCACCACGCGGTGGGAGGGAAGAGCAGGAAGGAAGGCTTCCGGGAGGAAGGAACATTTAAGCTGAGTGTGGAAAGGGCCATGAGGAGTTACTGGGTGTGAGATAGAGGATGGGGGGAGGGGCATTCCAGGTGGAGCATATGGCCAACAGCCCGGAGAAAGGATGTGGGCCGGCTCAGAGGAGGTGTGCACCAGGCAATGCCACCCAAGGCGGTCACCCAGGCTGGTCATTTGGGGAGCCTGGGGCCTGCAGTGGAGAAAGCGCAGCTGTCCTACTCTGGGTCCCCGGTCTGCCTCTCGCTACTGATCTGTGAAATGGGGATGTATCTTCTTTTTCCTTTTCCTTGGTGTGACCCAGCTGAAATCAGGTGATACATCAGGAGCCCACAAGAGAAACGTCCAGGCTATCTTAGCCCAATCTCTGGGCTTCACACCCTGGCTGTCTTCTCTGCAGCGCTTGACAACTTCCTTTGGGGCCCGCCCTGTGCACACCTGCATGACCTGGTAGCTCACAGCGTCACCTCCCCTCAGGGCTTCCCTTTGGGCTCCACCTCACTCCGCTCTTTAAGCTCTTTAACTACAATTCAGGACTTTTTGGTTCACAGCAAAATTGAGGAAAGTACTGAGATTTTTCATATACTCCCTGTCCCCACACATGCAGGCCCCCACTTTTACTAATCTGTAATCTCCATAAGGACCTGTAAACTCTAGAAGAATTTGGATCCTTCGCAACTTCTTGAATCCTCAGCTCTTAGCACAGTGCTAGAGAATGACGAGATCTTGAATCAGTGTTTAATGAGTGATTGGAAAGCATAGGGTCTGGCACTTTGTAGATTCTCAATAAGTACTGATTTCCTACCACCTCTTCAAGGGGGTCAGCCTGGAGGTGAGGACACACCGTGGACTGCTTATAGGGCAAATACTTATTTAGTATTGAAAAAATATGGTATTTTACTCCACAGGTGCCATTGTGAGAGGGAAGCAGAAAGTTAAGGCAAGCTTGACTTGGTGGACTTGAGGTAATTATGGATTACCTCCCTTTGGAGTACATTTTATATGTCAGTACTTAATTCCTTAAGCCAAGTCAGTCACGGTTATTTTACAAGGTATCCACGTTTGTTGTTTGTTTTTAAATAAAGGAGGAATCAATTTTTTTAAATGCTAATTTATTTTTGGGAGACAGAGAGAGAGAGAGAGAGAGAGAGAGACCGAGTGTGAGTGGGGGAGGGGCAGAGAGAAGAGGGAGACCCAGGGTCCGAAGCAGGCTCCAGGCTGCAAGCTGTCAGCACAGAGCCCGATTCGGGGCTCAAACTCACAAACCGTGAGATCATGACTTGAGCTGAAGTCAGACGCTTAACTGACTGAGCCACCCAGTCGCCCCACAAGGTTTGCTTATTTGTACAAAGGAGACTATTAAGTATCAGTTCATTGAGGGTATGGAATCTATCCCCAGAGTCTGGCACATATCAGGTCTTCAGTAGATTATAGTAGCTGACACTGAGCACTCTTTCTGTGCCAGCCATTGTTCTAAACTCTTTACCCACATTAACTCACTTTATTCTTACAACAGCCACCCAAGAAGTTGATACTACAGTTATGCCTATTTTACAGATGAGGAAATTGAGGCAGCCAGGTAAACAGCTTGACTAAACTGAGACAGCTCTGAAGAAGCCAGTATGCAGAACCAGACAATCTAGTCTGTGTTCTTTGTTATAAAGCTTAAGTTTTTAAAAATTTTAAGCTTATTTATTTATTTTGAGAGAGAGAGAGCACAAGCAGGGGAGGGACAGAGAGAGAATCCCAAGCAGGCTTTCCGCTGTCAGCACAGAGCCCGCTGCGAGATTCGATCCTATGAATTGTGAGATCATGACCTGAGCCTAAGCCGAGTCAGATGCTCAACCTACTGGACTACCCAGGTGCCCCTACAGCTTAACCTTTTAAAATCTCAAGTTTCTCTCTGAAAACCAGGGCCAACTATTAAATTGTATTTGCTCCCTCCTTCTCCTTTCACTCTCCATCTCCCCTGCAGGTGAGCCAGGCTTTAGGTCCCCTTGCCTAGGGATTTGGACAGAGAACGCAAAGCTTTCCGCCTTTTGGCACAGCCTAATCCAGGAGAGCACATTGAAGGCAGGTGGGCCGAATTTAACCTTCCAGATTTGTTTTGACCTGTACCCTATTTTAAGAAAAATTTGAATTAGTTGCCAACATAACTATAGCGACAGCAGATAGACCAGTGGCTGCCAGGGGCTGAAAATGAGGGAGCAGTTAAATTCAAAGGGCCAGGGGTGTTGGTACATTAACTATATGCAGTTGTTAAAACTCCTAGGACTGTGGACATTGAAAGAGGGGATTTTACTGTATGTAAATGATACAGCAATAGAATCTGGTCTTGGAGATAAATCCCCAAGTCATCTGGATATCTGACCTTGAAAGACACCCAGCAGCACTGAACCCTCTCTCTTCCTTTTTGTCCTTGCTATGGGCTAGCTGGCTGCCCAGAGCAGCTGCAGTTGGGGCTATTTTCTACCCCCCAGTCTAGCTAAGTGGCAGCAACTGCTACTGAGTGGCTTGAATTAGGGGAAAAAACCCCAACACTTTTTTTTTTTTTTAAGGGAATGGGTACAAAAAGGGGAAAGAGAGGCAAAGTGATGAAGTGAGATAGGAGGAAAGAAAAAGAACTTGATTTTATTCTGATTCCAGAGAGTCCAGGCAGAACTGGGGAGAAGCAGACAAGTAGGGAGTCCTAACCAAGTGCACCGACCCAGAGGAGTAACACGTAGCCTCCAGTTTCTAGAGTTGGTTTCCTAATTCTTTCAGGCTAGGAGATCAGGGGATGGGATAGGAAAAGTTACTTTTGATCTTGGGT